TAAAGCATCAGAAAATATAAGAGTTTGAATCTCTTTCTTTTTATTAATAAATTACACTTTCTTAAGTGTAATTTAAAGGAGGGTTCCTTTATCGGTAAGAAGGGTTAAGCTGTAAACTTAATAGCAAAATAATACTTTAAGAGTTCGAATCTCTTATCTCCTAGCCTTTATAGTTTAATGGTAGAGTATAATACTATTAATATTATGATAGATATTTGATTTATCTTAAGGGCTTTACACTATATAATTTTAATTAAGGTGCGTTAGTTATAATAAAATTAAAAATATCGATAAGTAACTTAATAAGAAGTAATTTTTAAGATTATCCTTTCTATTTAGTTTCTCCTTCTCTTTAACCTTTATACACTAGTATAAGTTTATTTACTATAGCTTTTAATACTGCTTTAAGTCTACATAGTTTCGAGAACTCTTATATTTTCTTTTATATAGGAATTATAACAGTTATATTATCTTTTATTATATAATTTAGAGATATTATATCTAAAGGTACATTTTTAGGTAATTATATATTAGCTATATAAAAAGGAATTAATCTAGGTATAATACTTTTTATAGTATCTAAAGCTTTATTTTTCCTTACTATATTCTAAGCTTTCTTTCATAGCGCTTTATCACCTATAGTTAAATTAGGAGCCTAATAACCACCTATAGGTATAGAAGCGATAAATTCTTTTAAATTACGTTTACTTAATATAGTTATATTATTATCTAGTAGTATAATAATAACTTATACTCACTATGCCTTAATTAAAGGAGATAGAGGGGGAGCTTTATACGGTTCTATTACTATAGTTATATTAGCTGTTATTTTTATAATATTCTAAAGAGTAGAATATAGTGTATTATCATTTACTATAAGTGATAGTGTATATAGTATATATTTTTACTTTAGGACAGGTTTCCACGGATTCCACGTTATAATAGGTATAATATTCTTAGCTATAGGTTTATAAAGAATTTATATATACTATTTAACAGACAATTATCACGTAGGATTTAAATCTGGAATCTTATATTAACATTTTATAGATATAGTTTAACTATTCTTATATATATTAGTTTACTATTAAGGTTTATGATTTATAAAAAAAGAATTTAAAGTAGATATCTGCTAATTAGTTATAATAAAATATTATATATAAAACTTTTTATTAGGGACTTTAGTATAAAGGTTATTACGTATAACTTCTAATTATTATAATATTAGTTCGAATCTATTACGTCCTATTCTATAATAATATATATAATTATAGAATTTATAGTAATAGATTGGTTTATATAAAAAAAGATTATGAAGAAAAAATTTATTAGCGATTATAATTTAATAGTAAAATCGCCGTTTTCTACACGGAATTTATTAGTTCGAGTCCGACTAATCGTAAGAGATAAAATATGTATTATTATATAAAATATAGTAATAATAATAATAATTAAATTAGTAACTTAACTAGTAAAGGATTTTCTTATCACGAAAATAGATATCGGTTCGATACCGGTCTAATTCGTAAATTTTTATTATATTTTTCTAATAAGAAAAAGTCAGTATATTTAAATATAATAAAAAGGAAAGGTTATTATCGGTAAGGTAAGCATTTTGCTATATTATGTACGTTAGTACCTGGGTATTCGACTCACCTTCTTTCCGTAATTATTACTATAAATATAACTAACGTTAGTTATATACCACTTAAAAATCTTCCCTTTTAGGGTAATTATATCTAAAATTTTAATAATAAATTTATTTATTATAGATAAAATATATACTAGTGGATTTAAAATAGAAGCTTTAGATATTATATCTTTATTTATAATATTATATGGAATTTCTATTATAGTAAGTAGAAATCCTATAGTTTCTGTGTTATTTTTAGTAGGATTATTTGGAGGAATAGCTTTATATTTAATATTATTAGGTTTAAATTTTATAGGATTTTTATACCTAATCGTGTATTTAGGTGCTGTTTCTATTTTATTCTTATTTATTTTAATATTAATTAATATTAGAGTTAGTGAATTATAAAGTAATACTAAAAATAGTATACCTTTAGCTTTAATTATTACTATATTTTTTAACTATTCAATATTTCAAATATTACCTTATAATTTAGCAATTTTAAATAACAATAATAATTATATAAATGATATTATTTATTATATATCCTTAAATAAACAAGAAACTATAAATAATAACAAAATAATAAATATAAATAATGATTTAATTTTTGCTTTAAATAACACTTGAGATGGTAATTTAATAGATACAAGTCATATATCTAGTATAGGAAATATTTTATATACTGTTAATAATATATGATTAATATTAGTTAGTTTTATTTTATTAATAGCAATGATAGATGCTATATTAATAACAATAAAATCATGTAAAAGTTTATCATAGTTAGTTTAGTTGATTACATATTTCAAAATAATCAAATAAAGAAATTAGCTCAGCGGTAGAGCAGCCGTTTTACACACGGAAGGTCAAGTGTTCAAATCACTTATTTCTTAAAAGGAAAATAGTTTAACTGGCAAAACATTAAGCTTCAACCTTAACGTACTTAGTTCAAATCCGAGTTTTCCTGATATAAAAAATATATAATAATTTAAGTAATTATAGAATTCATACACATATAATGTTTGTGTGAATCCATCAAAAATATCATATAATTGAGTATATATTGTAAATTTTATGATTCAAGCAGCAAAAATAATAGGAACAGGTTTAGCAACTACAGGTTTAATTGGAGCAGGTGTAGGAATAGGAGTAGTATTTGGAGCATTGATTTTAGGAGTAGCTAGAAATCCTTCATTA